CATCAGGGTTCCCGCCCATTCTTTATTTCAGCTTTATAATTGGACTGAGGTGTAGGGGGAGGAGGGACTCCTTATACCTATCAGTCTGATTAATTAATCTAATTAATTCCTGTCCTGTGACTGCTAAGGGAGGAGCTACCCCATAAGTGATGCTGCCATGAGAAATAGCCAGGAAAAGAAAATTACGGTAAGTTTGTCATAAATTTTCTCTATTTCTTCCTTTATATATCATCATTGTTGGAAGATTCATCATACACCTAAATAGTTTGTATATATTCTTTGATTTTTCTGTCTCAATGTGGTATTTTGCTCCACTCACGATTACACATTAATTTATAAAAGTACCAATTGTTTGTAAAACTTAAAACAAACAGGCTTAGGCATTACGAATTTAGCAATATTATTATTTTTTCCATGGAAGCTAATTTGAAAATGGTTGCATCGTGTTATTATTTTAGATAAACCTAAATTTGATCTGTTAGAATACCATCATTTTATTTTGTATAGGAATGATAAAGTTCACGTGCCCAGTATTTTTGGAATTAATGCTGTATCAGTAATTTAGTGTTTCCTCTGTTTATGTTGTAGATTTTAAACATTGCTGGAGTGAATTTGTTGACAACAATCAACATCCATTTGCACACTGGAACAAACTTTATTCTAACTACAAATGGACCTATCAGTGGCTCGCGGCTGCTATCAAAGGACAAATCTGACATTATTGTGGGTGTACACGTAGATAGACAGATATCTTGCTCTGTGTCTACTGGCCAGTTTCTCAACCTTAGTGATACCAGTGTAGCTTTCCAAAATTATGCCACCTGTCAAACTATACATAAAAACTGTCCATACAGTAAAATAATCTAAATAGCCAAATCGTTCTTTTACACAAAAATGAAATTAGTACAGACGGAGAATGTAATGCAGTAATAAAATCAATCATAAAAATCCCCAAAAATAAAAATAATCCGCGACTGGAGTAAGCATTGACTTGGAACGTGATGTCGCCACCTTCTCCTTCAAAATCTCTTAACTTGGTGTCTTCCTAATGCTGAGGTTCTGTGCTTGAAATATTCTGCCCAGCTCGGGTGTCACATTTTAAATTGCACTTTTATATTTATATTATATTATATTACAGCACAAGAACTTTGACCGCGCTATGTTAAGGTTATTTTGTACTTTATTAACTCATTGCATTATTGCATCTAAAGTGTTTGAGTCTTCACTGAAAATTGTGGTTTTAAAGACACAGAGCAACTTTATTTCTTGTGTTCTGAAAAGTGTCTAATCTACCAGCAATCTGTTTGTATTTATTACATTCTTTTTAAAATGATCTAAAAAGCGGTATTCTTTCTTTAACTAATTTTCTCATTTTTTAGTTATTTGAAAAAAAGATTTCCAAATTCAGAGTAGCAGAAAAAGGACGAGTGAGAAATAACAGCTTCCTGTAAAGAGTGATAAATCTGTTGGGTCACTAGAAATATAGCGATTATTAAAAAATTGATGGCTAGAAAGCTAAACAGGAAGCATTCGATTCTAATATTTTAATGAAAGTGAATGGTTTAGTGATTTAAATGAAAGTGCCACCCAGCGGTATAGCTTGGGAATATTTTCTGTGTTTATAACAAGATCCCTCATTGTCTCCTTTCGATTTTCTTTGTTTAGAAACTTTACGTGTTTCAATTGGTTTTCAACATATTGAATCAGAGTATTCAGTGGTGAGCACGGTGTAGTGGTTATGGTGACAATAATGCCCTTCTGCCGCACACACACATTTTAGAATGGTTTGAATGCTTACCTGGGGCCCATCGGGTGCCACTACTTCACACAGAGCTCTCTTTGCAGGAGCATCAATTCATTTTCTGAAGCTGCAGCTGAGCCCTGCACATTGCCCATTGGCTGAGAGCTCAGCTTCCGACACTGTGTCTGAAGTAGTGGAGATGGGGAGCGCCGCCTAAATAGTTTGACTCCTTCCAGTGGATGGCACCAGGACACTCAGGGTACCATAACCACTACAGCAAACTGTAGTGGTTATAGTGCTTGGAGTGTTCCTTTAAGTCAGGATAGCTTTTTAAACCCATCCTTCTACATTCAAAGCTGTATTTCAGCAGAGCTACGTTTAACCCCTTAAGGATCAAACTTCTGGAATAAAAGGCAATCATGACATGTCACACATGTCATGTGTCCTTAAGGGGTTAAGAAATGGGTTTTTATAACAACACGCAATGCAGTTTGTACGGGAACAAAAGAGCAATTTAATTCAAACAGTTTTGTGTTTCTGGACAGAACTGCTTCTAAACATTTGTAGTGCTGGATGGCTAGCTGGGAAAAATACAAGGGGATTTATAAGAAATCAGCATATTATATTATTGTTTATCAGCCGTTTCTGTCATTTATTCTGAGCATTCAGAATTCAGTAAGATGCGAAGATGTGTAGGTTAGGTTTCAGTTAATTATACTGGGTATTTTTTTTATTAAATATATATATATATATATTTTAATCCAAGTTTATTCCACAGTTAGTTTAGTCCATAAGTCCTTCATTTCTGTGATTCGCTCCAATAGTACAGCTATAAACAATGTAACGGCTTTTTGTTTTTTTAAGTTTGCAATGTTTACTGTGTTGATCAAAATGTTTAACTTGCCAATATGTATCCCAAAATTTCATAATAAGTAAGAGAAATCGGCAAGAACGAGTATATCATTTCATCATGACGCTAATAGGAAGGACGCCAGGACGAAGGATGCAGTCCTGGTGCTGAAAATTGAAGTGGGAGGAGCTTTCTCCACCGGAAAAAAGGCACCAATACCGGCTTATTTAACCCCTTAAGGACCAGCCTCTTTTTGCGATGTTGTACGTTAAGGACCAGGGCTCTTTTTACACTTTTGTGGTGTTTGTGTTTAGCTGTAATTTTCCTCTCTTTACATACCATTTTTTGTATCGTGTCATATATTTTACTTCAAAAATAATAATAAAATATGGTGAAAATTAAATAAAAAACTAGTTTTTTTACTTTTGCTTGAAAAATCTTACTTATGTAGGCTAATGACAAAAACTGCTAAATAGATTCAAAATTTTATCCTGAGTTTAAAAACACCCAGTGTTTACATGCAAGTTATAGGGCTATAAAAAAATAGGAAATTGTGGTTTCAAAATATATATTTTTAAAATGTATCAATAGTGACATTGTAACACTGTTACCAGTCATAAATCTCTGAATAACACCCCACATGTACATATTTTTTTTTTTTTTTTTAAAGTAGACAACCCAGGGTATTCAATATTTAATTATGTGTATTTTTACATTAATATATGTATATATTAATATAAAAATACACTTAGTATGACATATATATGATATATAGATATATATATGAAAAATAGACATATATTACATACACATATATAATTCTATTTTTTTATTACCATTAACCTTTATTTTTCATTTTACACTTGCAGGGAGACTGCCTGCAGGCAGACACTAGGACACCTATTGTGGCCATGTGACCGCTGTGTTGAGCGATCACATGGCCCCCAGGGTCCTAATTCGCCATGGGGAGACTGCCTGGGCTGTAGGCAGTCTCCCCACACCGGGAGCACCACAGTGATCGGGTAAGTACATAATACCGTTGTGACGGTTCAGGACCGTCAGCGGTTGGCAACGCTAAAATGCAGATGACTGTCCTGAACCATCTGCGGTCGTTAAGGGGTTAAAGACCTGGGTGCATAGAATGGAGAACGGACTTTTGAAAAATGCTAACACAGACACGTCAAGTACCTGTTTATGTGTATAGTGGACTTTTATTTGGTTTTAAAGCGGTCTTTGCATATTAGTTTGTCCAATACATTTATTTTTTCCTGATCTCCTGCATCCTGGAGTATCTGTGAAAATACCATAAGGACAACATGGAAATGACAGTCTGGCACCTACACTAATCAAAATACCCTTAGTCTGAGCCAGCTTATGTTACGTGGCTCAGCACCATGTGAGTGAGACTAATTTTATTTTAGGTTTAACATATTTCAAACATTATTACCCTATGTTTGTTTTTCCTGTTTTGTTTATCTGCTGGATCTATTTATATATACATGAGTGGTAATATGCATTTTTTTTTAGTGTGCCCTCATCAATTTATTTCTGTTTTTACTATATTGCACTTGTCTGTGGTGAAGTGCCCCACATAGGTGATTGTAGCACCTTTTTTTTGGTTTTAACCAAACCTTACACTTTTGAGTTTTACCAATATCTTGACCTGTATGTGTGTATGTATGTGTCAGTGTTTGTATCTGTGTCTGGGCATATGCATAAGTATTTGTTTCTGTGTCACTGTTTGCATCTGTGTGTCTTTGTGTGATATCTTTCGTGTCTGTATCTGTATGAATAGTAGAAATGTACTGGATATCGCATTCACCAAGTAACCCAAGTGCTCTGAAGCCAGGGCTGTCTAGGCCTCGCTTTCAAGATATGCAAAATAAATAACAGTTCAGGCACTCTGGGATAACAAAAACTAGCAGCTTTATTAGGGCAAAAACAGCAAAGTTTTGACCCTACTGATAAAGACCCAAATAAAGCTGTTATTTTTTGTTATCTCGGAGTGCCTGAACCATTATTTATTCGGTATCTGTATGTATGTCATTGTTGATATCGGTGTGTCTTTGCATCCCCATGCATGTCAGTGTATAGGTGTGTCTGTATCTGTGTCAATGTTTGTATCAGATGGGTACAATTTATGGAAAGGGGCAGCTAAGGGGAACACAAGTGAACAAAGTTTGGGAACCACTGCCTTACAAGAACTGCCACCCCTCCCTCCCTCTCATCAAAGAGAGCAAAACCACCCAATGCTGTCGAACTGGAGGTTAACAGGCCTTGCACAGGGTAATCCCAGAGTTAGTATTATATTGGTTCTATTATATCAGAACTGAACTATAACAGGACCCTGAGACTCACTTCGTTCTAAATGTTTAGACCAAATTTAATGCATTGGTGAACAAAGCAGCCAACAGAAGCGAGACCTTCTCAAAAAGTAACCTTTATTGATGAACATAAAAGATCACTCTTCAGTGGACGAAATGGAGGCAGAGGAGGCTGGTGGGAACCGTTTATAAGATCTGAGACACTGAATGAAAAAGCCCCTTCAGTAGACATTCATTGCGGATTCCAGGACTCTGAATGCTGAGGGCAAGCCCTTACCTTTATAAACAAGCTGTACACATTTTGTCGTATATTAATTATTACGATTATTTCATTAACTTTTAAAAAGCTTAAGAAAAAATCCTTGTGGGGATGGAGGTACAGCTTGAGACTCTGATCCGAATAAATTAAAAAGATAAAAGACGAAAATCGAATTTTAAAATCACACAATTGTATATGGCACAGCTCACATTAATTATTAATATTTATAGATAATTCTCGCTAGCAATAGGTAAGAAATATGTGACTTGTAAGGCACAGGGCTATTACAATAGCTAATAAAATATGACGCATTAATGTTTTTTGGTCCTTCAACTGAAGAAAAACATCAATCTGCATAAAACGTCAGCTTAGTGTCATAGGAAAACAAATATATTCAACAAGCAGAAGAACCCAATCAGGCCACCAATGAGCACCCTTCCTGCGTCCCTTTAGCATTATAACCTGTATAAACTAAAGGTCACGTTTGGGTTACATGGAGAATGTCTGAATGGGTCAGTGTTCCTCGTTTAAAGAAATCATCCAGATAAAGAAGTCTTTACAGAGATCAACTACTTCATTTCCCGCAGGAATCCATCAGTGAGTAGGACATGAATTCACCTAACGTACTGCAGCACTTCGCTCAACTACAAATCCATAATTGTACTAAAAAGAAAGGAAAAAACAGAGAATATATTAAAATTCAAGCGATCTATGGAAAAGGAGAATTGTGAGCAATTACAGAGGATCAGACAGGAAACAATACCCAAACGTTGACCCTAACATGGACCTTACGTAATAAATAATATCTAAGATTACTGTGCATTTCATCCCTCACCAAACACAAAATCCACTGAAATATTGCACAATCAAGGAAAACTGACAATTTGGCTAATCTGGCCTAAAATGTTTCATTT